TCCAGCAGCCTTACCTAGCTAGGTCAGTATAAGCATACCCACCCTCTAGGGGATAATATTTAGTGGGCTCTAATCAGCGATTCGGCACTTTATAAGACATGTTTTTTTTTTCTTTGCGATTATAAAAAATAAGACAACATTAAATTATTCAACGAATTTTTATAAACTCGTTGAATAATTTTAATGCCTCAGAGAAAATGGGAACACCATTTTCTCTGAGGCAGGCATGTATTTGACTCACCTGGTTCTCAAGATTGTATTTAATGTATGTTTATCAAACGATAGTTTTGTTAGATAAATATCAGAGTCGAATCCCAATCAAGTTTGGGAATCACTGACCTGTGTTATTGAAAGTAGCAAAATTAAGTCCTCGACTATTTATAATTCACGGAACCCTGGCCCAAACCAAAAGGATATTCTTTATATCATTCGACAGTGCACATCCGCCGAATACACCATTGAATTGTACATACACTCGCGGAAACCGATCATTTGTACAAATTCCGCCATTTTATGTCGCACCGGAAACCGGATGTGGGCCACGCGCGCCAATGGCGGATTAAAATGGGCGCCATTATGTAATTGATTTTATAAAGCCGATAAATTGTGACTACTTCCTATTATTAATTTGAAGTGATCTTTTGTGTACTTAACATTCAAATTATTAGCAATTAAAACGATTCTCTCAATGAGCCAGCAGCTATAAAGGTAACACGCGAATCGTTCGCTCATAATCCTGAAATTTTTGATAATCATTAATATTCTCGTTTTTTTTTAACCTAAGAAAATATACACGTTTTTGTATTATAATATCTTTAATTCCCTACAATACTTACAGTAAAATATTTATTTAGATGCATCGGGCATGCATTTCCGCATTTCGGTTCACCAACTTACTAATTGTACCCTTTAGTTCCGAAGCTTAGATTAAGTATATCTAAGTTCCGGGTAAATTAGTTATATTAGATTGACGCACACAGAAAGACATTTGGGGTAACTACTGCTTTTTCTTTTTGATAAGCATACGGAACCCTTAACATAACACCATAACTAATTACAAAGTTAATTAATGACAAATTCAAGAACGCAACGCGTCTGTTTTCAGACTTATTCTCCATTAACGAACTACAAAATGCCGACGCAAGCTCGCTACGAACGTGTCCCACCCACCGACGGCGGTTTGCACTGGGACAGGACTCAGTGGGACACGCTCAGTTTGAAGGCGTTACAAGAAGATGATTTACCATTAGGTAAGAATGATGTATAGTAGCTCCAGCTCATATCAAATTTATTTAAAATATATTTTTGATTGACGAAAAAATATTCACACGGCAATGCGTGTAACTTCTATAAATTGAAAATTTCCACTGGATATTAAACCTTAATGGATTAACACTTAATTTAAAAACCAACTGCCTTTAACATATTGTTGAAACCTGTCGTGTTAGCTGCTTAACTTGGGATCTGAGATATGTATGTGCCGGTTATGATGGTTCATTATTTTTAAAAGCCCAAATTTTGTAAACCAATTATGGTTTAACCCAATTATATTGTAGTCCTGCGGGCGACTGTAGGAATACCAATTGTAATTTTAACGTCTATGTTGATTTCGAGACAAAAATGGCTCTACTTAGACCCACACTACGAATTAGGCAACATTATAATGTTATTTATTAAATAGAGATTCGAAGAAAGAAGAAAGTTGCCATATAATAAAATATCAAAACTACAATAAAAATTAACCCTTATTTTTGCAATAGATCCCAGAAAGTGGGGCCGCTCCGAGGTTGGTAGATGGGTGTCCAGGCGCGGTGGACTACCAGAGCGGTTCCCCATGAACGGGAAGGCACTCTGCCTGATGACCAAGGAGATGTTCGCGACCCGAGTGCCCAACAATGGACACTTATTACATCAGGCAAGTGTCCATTGCGTATTATACATTTATAGCTAAATGCTTTCCTGCGATTTAGTTTCCCGTAGGTAAAAGAATAATAATCAGGTAATTACATAAATATCAATAAAAGCTTGATATTAAAGATGATTGTTGATGATGTAATGACGACTTTAAACTCTAATGAATATCTATCGGTAATGTCGCTTTAAACAAATGAAGCTGTATATCGAATCAAACGTGAATCTAGATTGTAAATGTAATAGTAACGACATAATGCCGCGTCCGCACACTCGCCCAATGTCAAGAAGTCATTAAAAATACAAAACAAATGGATAAAGTATGTAATTTACATGGTTTGTGAAGGTTTGTTTGTAAGCGCTTGTTGCCGATCACTGTCTGTTTTTTGCGGCAAGCGCTTGCGTCGCGTCGGCGTTACATTTGATTATAATTAAAACAACTCTGTTTCAGGACTTCAGACGGCGTCTCGCAAAAGCGCTAGCATTGCAGGAGTTATTCGAAAAATTTTCACCAAAGTAGCAACATTTTGTAGATTTTCGTTAACGTTTAATCAATTATGTAGAAATACACAGAAGAATTATAACATATCGTTAGAAGGCAACAGTTGGGTACAGTCAACAGCACGTGGGGTTATCCAAAACTGACAAATACTTTAACTTGTTTTAAACCTAAACTTTTGAACCTTAATGTTTACTTAAAAGTCAAAATTAATTGTGTAACGACATATTGTGGTAATCTGACGTGCTGTCGTATGTTAAATACATTTATTGTAGATAATAAAATTAACTATAGAATAATGTTCCTATGATTTTCGTTTATAATAATCTTTACTTTGTATATTTTGGCTAACTTTGATGAGGCTTTTAGTTTGTTAGGAAACAAGAAGTAGGAAAGTAAGATATTTGAATGATGCAATTTAATGCAAAATTTACGTCTTATTGTAATTTACAATTTTAGTTGTTTAAACACACGTTATTATTAAATCGAATAATACCTATAATCATGTAAACACAAAATAAAAATATCGATGTATGTTCATACCAGTAGTTGCCGCTGACCGACCGCCTAACTCATCTAGCTCTAACCGTCGTTTTTACTAACCTAAATTAAGGCATAGCTTAACAAAGAAACGCCTAATCTTAAGAATCACTTAAGCAGACTAGTTTGATTCATATAAATATAAGCGATTGCCTAGCGTATGGCGCCGCATAACGAATATCATAACTTTAGACGTTGCCTTATTTCGTTAGGTGGTTCCTAGGCATTGGTGAAATACATTTTTACCTTAGGCGATTCCTAAATATTTAGGCGACATATTTGGGCGACTTCTAAGCTTAGTAAAAACAGGTATAACTGTAATCTCTTCCAGCTCTATCTTGGAGAACAATCAGTCTTTACAATTAAATTATTTATGCCGAATTTATCCACCAAAGGACATGTCAAAGTATTCGCTAAGATACTAAGATCACAGAACACAGACTCTTATCTGTGTTCTGTGGCTAAGATCATCGTATGGCCAGCGAGTTATGCGGTCACACTCTGGACAACATCAGACGCATTCTCGACATTCACACACGCTCGTCTGACATTACTGATCATCAAAGGTGTAGGAATATTGACCTACCATGGCTTCTAGGTCTTTCCATTTTTGTGTTCTATATAAGTTCCATTCTTTCTACATGTCCTAACCAACAGAACATACATGTTTGAATTTCTAAAAACTCGTATGTTGTAATATTATTTCAATGATAATAAATGATATGATAATTTACCAAGTGATCTCGTGTGTAATCAGTCGGGTACAGTTTATCCCACGCAGCAAGGGATAAGTTCTGCCTGAATAAGATAATATTTTCAACAATAAGCTAGATCCAAGCTCCAAGTATTATTGTATAGCCAGTATTAATGATACCAATTGAATATGTATGTATATATGTTAGTTATTATGATAGTATAATTTAAGTTTTTCGTTGCACAATGTCTAAATGTTATTGACAGTTTCATCTGTCTGTCCGTTCCCATTTATATAGAAGTTTTTTTAACAAGAACAATATCAAATGCTTAAGCCCTAGTGCTAAAACTCCATTACAATTCATTTTTTTAGCGGTCTTATTAGTGGCCGACCGACCAGTACCTAGAACTGGAAACAGTTATTTGATTATACACAGGCATTTTATAAAATTCTATCTATTCTATCTATTTGGGAGGACCGTGTAAGACTCTAGTCAAGGTATATATTTAATAAATAATTAACTTGTATCTCAGAATGTTTTATTTAAAAAACTTTAGAGTGATCCCTGTCCCATCTCCAAAGAGTAAAGTGTAGGTTTGGTCCATCTCACAGCCAGGACATAAGATTCATCATCATCATCAGCTCTTTTTACGTCCCCGCTGCACAGGCCTTTCTCATGGATGGTTAAGGAGGATGGTCCATGACCCTCCGTGCGTGCCTGATGCTGATTGGAGGGTATTGCCGACTGGACCAACGGTTTAACGTACCTTCCGAAGCATGGCTCGAGATAATATTTTTTTGTGTCATCGCGCGGTACTTATCCGCTACGCTACTCATAAAATTAGTCTTTTATAATAATAAATTTCTGTATCTATTATAATTATACTGTTTTCCCGCGACTTCGCTCATGTAAACAATTAACTTTTATGATCACTATTTCCAAGTTTACCCACTATTTAAACAAAGTTACTGCGCGTTGCACAAACGTTCATAAAAATTGCCATTAGTTTATGCGACATTACCGATACACATTTAGAACATTCATTAAAGTTTTAAGTCGTCATTACACCGTAATGGATGTTTGTGAATCTGGGCATTAGAAACTACCTCTTTATATAATTATTAATATAGGTAAATATAATTGCCAATACAATTGATAATGTTTTTTATTAGTACATGATTACAAATAAAAAACATTATAATTGTAAAACAATATGAAACATAATTTATAGATAAAAGAAAATTATTGCAATGGCGTTGAGATTTGTAGAGTATTCTACAACAGTGTCCCGTGCTATAAATAACGAGTTATGTCTAAAATGTATATATTTATTTTCATATGACAGGTCATCTTTACTATTTATCTTTCTTGGTGAGTGTCTCTGTGAACGCGTTAGCGCCCGCGGCCAGCGCAGCTGACAGCATCTTGGGTCCCTCTGCTGATAACTTTGTGACCAACTGTTCTATGCTCTGCTTCTGTTTAACATATGATTAATTATCCAACATGTCAAACGTAGACAGGCGTTTTTAGGGTTCCATATCCAAAGGGTAAAACGGGTAAAACCCTATATTCTCTCAGTCTATCTGACCGTCTGTCCGTCTGTCACCAGGCTGTATCTCATGAAACGTGATAGTTAGGCAGATGAAATAATAAAAACAATAATTATTTATTGAAATTCTATTAGCCTAGTTACACAAAAATGCTAAACATACTTACGGTTAGATGCACAAATCTTTTAAAATAACGATACTTTTAATAGACGTTTGTGCAACTGGCTGTCAAAGAGATAATATTATTATGTGCCTGAATTAGATTAATAATGTATTTCTGTTGCTGGTAAAGCAACAAATACTAAAAAATAGAATAAAATATATATTTAAGGGGGCTCGCATACAATAAACGTGATTGTTTGCTCGTTTTCGGTACGTAACCCTTCGTGCACGAGTCCAACTCTTACTTGGCCTGATATTTATGTTGTTTTGTTACTATTGCTATTACGATTATGCCATTTTCTCAAGTAATTACTTCTCTTGACTATAGATACGGGTGTTTTAGAAAACTATTTAAAGGTAACGCAACTTACTCATACTTACATTATATAAAAATATATTTAAATTACAAAATAAAATAAATGTAATCCGTTAAAATCAAAATAAAATATAATAAAATTCAAATCATGTAAATGCTGCTATGTCTCGTCTTTCTTCATCAACGTTTGCTTGAACGCGCTCACTCCTGCAGCCAGGGCGTTACTGAACATGTTCGATGCTTTCGACAGCTTCTTGGAGAAATCCTCGATAGTTTCTTGCTGTAACATGTCAAAAGAACAGAAAGTCTATTTCTATCAGGATCCACTTCTCGAAAACGAAATTTCTTCTATATTCAAAATTCTAGTGACTCCAAAGAAATGCATTTTTCGATAATTTATGATACAACGATGGTGAAGCTGACATTGAATGTGATGCACAGATAATCTTCACGTACCTATATGATTTTAACACAATTATAAGCACGATTCAATTTTTTTCGAATTACGTTCGAGGACACAAACAGAGAGGCCATCATCATGTTTCTAATAGTTGCCATCTTCAAAAGTAAAAAACCAATATATCTATACTGGGTACCTATTGTGGCGACTGATATAAGCGACATCTAATTCATCGCAGTAACATCGCCACAATAATCGGTAGCGAGAAGAATAGCATCGTCACAGCCATCGATAGCAAGACGAACTGCAATAAGTTTCAACAGCAAGTAACGAGATGGCGCTGTACCAGAAACGAACATCATAAATTAATACTACAAGACATTTAGAACAAAGAAACCTACATCGCACAGAATAAGTTTCATTACCAATTAACATAAATAGAACGTCCAACCTATATCGGTTGGACCGCGGTCCCCGGGCTAACAACACCTAGCTCGGAGGGAGACAATTATCCTTTAGTCTCCCTGACCAGTTGTCTCCATCACCACAGTTAGGGACCCAACATTCAACCTTCAGGTTCCTAAACTATCAATATTTTTATATACAATATTCAAGACTGTAAGATTGGGGTGGATCGCATAGTGATTTATCACAATCACTTTAAGCGGCAAATCGAAACAGACCACCATCTCTTTATCTTATCGTTGCCAAAATAATAAAACAAAAACACTCACCTTGTAGATCAAAACTCTTCGATTCACTCATATACAAAAAATATATAATGAAAAAAAAAACAAACGAAAATATCACGATCAAATCTGTTTCTTAACATAGCTATGGCCATTTCTTAATAGTACTTATATATACGTACGTATGTATGTTCCTTATACTTAATTGTTTGTGTTATTTATTCATTATTGAAGCTTAAGTTACACTTGAAGCTCTGTTCAACTCGTGGTGTGATATATCATGTATAATATGTTACCTGTTCAGCAGCTAGTTTTCCGAGGGCGTCTTTAAATTTGGCGAGCTCGACGCTCTGCTTGTTGGCTGCGTCAGCGAATAATGCACGAGCCTTCTCCTCCATAGCTTTAGAGCTGTCTATCACTTTCGCTATTGCATGGGAAAATTGAATATCTTTTTAAGTGAGATACCTACATCATAGAATTTTTCAAAAAACATTCAGGGTAATTCACATACAGTCATTTTCTTTATTACCTATGACACACTTTAGTAGTCCAAATCCTTCTGTTGTACCTCAAAAAGTGGCAACTCTAGGTGTGACTTACTTTTTTATATCTCTTTACCTATCTTTTTATGTATGCCGTAGGCTTAAATATCTAACATTATAAACTATACCATCTCTGATTAAGACTGAAGAAGGTGAAGTTCCCTCCTTCTTGTAGCGAAATGGCTACCCGGTTACATATTATGTAGTTCATATGTTATATTTTAATAAGAGTTCATAGTACATACTTAGTACCAAATTCTATAGGGTTTCAATCAAACTTACAATCTTTCATCCATTTTATGAGACTGTCCACGTCCGTTTTGCCTTCTTTCTTTAGTTTTTCAAAAGCATCGTCCATCTTGTTAAATAATTTTATGGTTATTGTATTGTTAATGCATTGTAGAAATGAAATATAATCTAAGCTGTGTTTACTTTCAAAGGTGACAGATATTTGAAATATGCCATCGTGATTTGCTATAAATAAAAGTGAAATGGAATTTAGGAATTTATTCAATTACTTATGCTCATTGAAGGCTCTTTGATTTAAAAAGTTTAAATACGTTTATGCATATAGAGTTCTTGTTCCTATGTTATTTCTACTTTGTTGATCGAAGTTCTACTCCGTTGATTTTATTATGGGTAAAACCAAAGTCTAGAAGTGAAGAGAATTTACAAAATAATCTAATAGATTGCGTTAAAACGTTTAGGCTTCTTGGGTTATTTATAAATAATAATGTAAACAAATGTACACTACACATGTAGATGCAGACCGTACTTCAAACGATTTAAGATTCTGACCGTAACTTCTTTTTTAAATTAACTTTGTAAATTAGTTAAAAATCCTATCTTTTTTTTATTAAAAAAATGGATATCTTATGACGGTACCTCCCTAAAAATGTGAATAATTTGATATTACCAAAATCGAAATTAGTTTTGCCCAGAACGAGCCCCAATGTGCCAACGGCAATTTCTTTTTAACAAGTTTGGTGAAAATAATATTAAAATACAATATTTATACGAGATTCTACAAGTTCTCTCAGAAAAATGTTATTATAATATACAAGAATATTTTTGACAAATTATTATAACATAATCACCGTTGACATTTTTTAACAATTTAATTAATCTTGGGATATTATTAATAGCATTTATTATTATAAGTTATCGGGTCGTAGGCTTGCTTGTCGTCGGGTAGTAAAACTCCGTAGAAGGTGGAAGGATGGAATGTTTTATTTACAAATCTTACAGCTACTTATACTAAAACGTAATATAATATTAACCAATTAAAATTATAAATACAAACTTAACCAATGAAGAAATGTACATTTTAAACCAATTACAAGAAAGCTACAATATTTACAATGGAAGGGGAAAGTGACGAGAGGAAAGGGAAAGGGACTGAGACGCGGGACGAGGGATCGTGTGACGTGGCGTATAAAGGCTGGCATAGAGTTAACGAGATCCTTTTTGCCAGGCGTCGGGTGAGCGTGCGGGTGACTGCGTTGCGGAAGGTTGACATGTGGCGCGCAGCTGTTGACACGCACTTGTTGCGTTGCTTTCTCCTTTGTTTCATACGGACAGTGACGTTGAAATAGTTCTTTTAAGAGCTCCTTATTTCATTGGCGGATATACAAATAAATTTTCCTATAACTGATGTAGTCTTATTACTGTCTTACTGGTGGTGTAGCCACAGTACTCCCCTTCAAGTGAAACGTACTGGCAGTTTGACGACACGGCCAGATCTAGTTCGCTTCTCTGCTGGCTGTGACGTCACGTCGTTGTTTCTTACACTTGAGTCTGGTAACGGCATTGATGGTAATGTTGTGGTGGTATTCGTGCTTTGATGTGGTAATCTTATAAAGGTATGATTATGGTAACTGGTAAATTCAGGCGTATGTTGGTAATCTGTATCTGTTGCATAACTCTCCTCTATGATGTATGCAGGCTTCAATCGGTCGATGGAGATAGCTGCTTGACGATTTGGTAACTGGATCGTAAACACTTTATCTGTGCGCTCCACGACTCGATAAGGACCTTCATATGGTTGTTGAAGTGGCTTTTTTACTGCGTCGACTCTGACAAACACGTGCGTGCATTTTTTTAGATCTTGGTGCACGAACATGTGTTTGTTACTATTATGATGCGTTGTGGTGAAACGTGGCTTGTTATTCTTTATGTGTTCCCGTAACTTTTCTACGTAAGTAGTTCATAGCTGTTGAGTTGGTGCAGTTGTTTTGAAAGAAATCGCCAGGTAGCCGTAAGTTATAGCCGTAAGTTAATTCAGCTGCGCTGACGCCGGTGTCGCTCCGTAGAGCGGCTCTTAGTCCAAGTAACACGGTTGGTAGTTCGTCGATCCAAGAACTTGTGTTGCTAAGTTTGGTACGCAGTGCGGTCTTCAGTGTGCGATGCCAGCGTTCGACGATGCCGTTGGATTGCGGATGATATGGTGTTGTACGATTTTTCTTTATTCCCATAATCTTCATTAAGTTGGTAAAAAGAAAGCTTTCGAATTGACGACCTTGGTCGCCTTTAGGGTTGAGATGCATCGACGTTATCCGCGTTGTGCCGGGAAATTCCGCTAGGATATCGTGGTATGACTGTGATATGTCAATACTACGTATCGTAGGAACATCGATGGTGCATATTGGTGCACTGAGCTTGAAGTTGGTGACGCCATCAATAAGTTTTCTATTTTTGAGGTCGACGATAAGCTGGTGATGCTTTAAAAAGTCGGCTCCCAGTATTGGTTTTGATACGTCTGCTACTATAAATTTCCATTTGTATGGACGGCGCAGGCTGAGATCGAGTTCAATCGTTTTTTCGCCGTATGTGGGTATAACAGTGTTATTTACTGCATACAATTGAAATGGTAATGGCGTTGTTGGTTGGCCTTTTGTTCGAGGTAGCACCGAAATGTTCGCTCCGGTGTCGACCAGGAAACTTAAATTCGTTTTCTTGTCGGTAACGAATAGGCGGTATGAATGTTCGGGAACGCCGGTTTCCGCCGCTGCCAGCGTTCGTTTTAGTTTTCCGACTTCCTGTAATATGTGCAGGGTGTCGTGCATCGTTTTGCTTGAGATCCGAAGCGCTGGTGGTAAAAGCAAAACGGCGATGGTGATCGGCTGTTTTGTGTCGAACGATGGCGGGAGCGAGATGGGGATCTGTCTCTGAAGCGGTTGCGTGAGTGAGACGGGAATGCAGTGTACCGCGTCCTGTGATCGTTTCTTTGTTGCGTGTAATGGTAATGTGGCGGCCCGCTACAGCTGCTGCGGTAATTGGATGTTTTTTCTTTCAGTTCGGCGATCTCGGTGTGCATTTTACGAAACTCGTCAACTAAAATTTGCATGTTTGTATCATCTTTATTGTTTGATATCGGCGTAGTGATAGATGATATTGACGAAGTTTCATATTGTTCTACCATCTTATCAGCGAGTTTGGCGATATCGTCGAGTGCGGTATCTTTGGCCATTGTGTCGCTTACGACGAGTATCGAGCGCACGTGTGGTAGATGATTCATCCACATTAGCTGTAGCGTTTTGTCAGGGATTTTTCCCGTAGCGAGCGTTTTCATACGACGAAGCAACTGGCTCGGCTTCTGGTCTCCGAGTTCCATGTCGGAGAATAACCTATGTAGCTGCTTGCTGTCGGATTCCTCGTATGCAGATATGAGTTTTTCTTTAACGACTGTATAATAGCCCTCAGACGGTGGTGCGTAAAGTAGGTCGCAGATTTGCTCGACATCTTCCTTGTTTAGCTGGGCGATGACCATCTGCGCCTTCTGGGCTTCGTTTTTATGAAGCTCATTAACTGCAGCTTCAAAAACGGCGAACCACAATCGTGGTTTATCGCGCCAGAATGGTGGTATGCGGAGTGGGAGTGCGGCGCTGGAGATTTCGTTTGATGTGGACGGCGACGGTGGGTTTGCTTCCGTGTTTGCCATCTTGTGAAAGTTTTTCTTGCAGGAGAAAAATGCGTTTCGAAACAGGATTACGTAGTTCTTCGAGTCTTCGATGTCGTGTCGTTTAAGGATCACGTCAATTGAAGATCACGTCTGTTGAAGATCACGTCGGGGTCACCACTTACAGCTACTTATACTAAAACGTAATATAATATTATCCAATTGAAATTCCCTAAAATTATAAATACAAACTTAACCAATAAGAAATGCACATTTTAAACCAATTACAAGAAAGCTACAATATTTACAATGGAAGGGGAAAGTGACGAGAGGAAAGGGAAAGGGACTGAGACGCGGGACGAGGGATCGTGTGACGTGGCGTATAAAGGCTGGCATAGAGTTAACGAGATCCTTTTTGCCAGGCGACGGGTGAGCGTGCGGGTGACTGCGTTGCGGAAGGTTGACATGTGGCGCGCAGCTGTTGACACGCACTTGTTGCGTTGCTTTCTCCTTTGTTTCATACGGACAGTGACGTTGAAATAGTTCTTTTAAGAGCTCCTTATTTCATTGGCGGATATACAAATAAATTTTCCTATAACTGATGTAGTCTTATTACTGTCTTACTGGTGGTGTATGTACATAGTGTTAATTTAATTATGATAGATGTGTTAATATCAGTTGTTTAGATGTTGTGCACAAACGGCTGCACGGATTTTGATGATATTTGGTATACGGATCATTATAAATCTGAATTATTAGACAATTTTATACCACTAAACAGTTCCCTAGGGGCGGACGAAGCTGTTGTATTCATCGAGGAAAACATTCAAAGTCCGAGATATAACACAAATGTTTTATTTTAATTTACTCTGTTCTGAATTGCTTCTGATTTCCTCAACTATTGCTTCTCTTACTGTGTTGAATTTTTTTATAAAATCATCCGCTTGTGATCGCGTGTCTCTTGACAATATGCCTGGTAAAAGAAACCACATTGTCGTTGTGAAATTAAATAGATCTATATTATTATAAGGACAAAAGATGTGATTATTTGTTTGCATCTTATTAGATGCAACGAAATAGTTTTGAAACTATTGGACCGATTTCAAAACTATTTCGCTTATGGAAAGCAACCATTGGCATGTGAGAGAAATCGGGGTGAGGGGGGGGGGGGAACATTTAATAATAAAAATATGCATGTTACTTATTATATAGTTGTTGTTAGGTTAGTAGGTAAAGTTCAGTTAGTAAATATTAATAAAATTTCTATTCTTTGGCAGTTTCATCTTGAAACAGACTATAACATACTTATTTTTATTTTCACACTGTGGATTCAGTCGAGACTCGAGTTAGGACGGTTACGAGTTTCGTTGACCGAAAATTGCATAACCATCCCAATCGCAGATCTTATGTGTTAATCATTACTTTATTTCATAGAGTTGATCTCGCCGCGAAGACAGGTC